TATATATATAAATACACACACACACACCCTTAAAGAATAAGCTGATGCTTTTAATTAGATCATATGGAAATCCCAGAGGAATAGTAAAACTTTTACTGTGACTTTTCTTTTTTTTTTTCCCCCCTTAGGGTTTGCTAGATTATGTGCTGATCCCATTACTTTGTGTTTCTAATAATAGATGTAGGAAGTAGGAGAAATGATAATGGTACCACTGTTGCAGGAAGGCTGCCTCCTTCGCAATACAGTCCCCCCTCCCCACCACCTCCACCAGCAACTACTTTTCATCTGGAAGACATGGTAAGCATGTAGCTGGAGCAGAGATGTATTTACTAGTGACGGAAATGAACTTCCTCAGTTGGAGCTTTTTAAAGATAAATGCCGTAGCCCATGAACTGAAGGAATTTGAAGACAGTCTGTGGGTTATGGGCATGTTCAGACTGCATGGTGTGAAAGAAGTGACTGGGGCACAGCCGCTGTGACTTGCCGTACTTTCATTAAGCTCTGCTTATTTTTGGTGGAAATGCGTTAAACTGATGAAGACAGGGTCACTGTAATGAGCAGAATTTGCTCTCCCGGGTGCCTTCTGGAAAAAAGCTGTTACAGGTTTATAATCTGAAAAGAAGAAAAACTGGCTTGACTTGAAGCTGCTTTTTTAAAAGCGTAACACAGACAGACACTGTGGGAACTTGGCTCATTGTCCCATCATGCCAGCTTAGCCAGATCATGATCCAGCAGCTTGGATGTTGTGTGCCTGCCTTGGAGTCGGGCTGAAGACATTGCCACCATAAAACACTTGATGCTGGAGTACAGGTTGGAGCAGAGGAGATGTGCTCGCCTCTCTCCCTGGTCCTTCATTCTAATAGGATCAAGTATTATTCACACCATTTCTACAATTTTTAGACACATACTTTTAAATTAGACAGAAAACAGTAAAACTGGAGATAAAATAACTGCACAGTTAAATTTAGAAGGGTAATTTGAATAGTCAAAAAATTACTAAAGAGTAAAACTGCATTTTCTACATTTATTCTTGGTGAACTCTGGTTTCATTCACAGTTTTCTACCCACCTGGGTCATGCCAGCACTTCCCAGACCAGGCTAGATTCTGATTCTCCAGTAATCGTCACTAGTACAGCTGCAGGATCTGGTGTGGCGTTAACTCAAAAGCTGGTAACATGCTAATTAACTTCTTAATTTTTTTCAAGGCAGAATTATAACAAATACAGGTTTGCATATTGTTATTTCTGCATTCTTTTCAGAGCAACACAAACGTGCAGTTGAGGAAACTCTGCCCTGGTGCACAGCTGTGTGAAGCCTGCAAATGCTCATTCATGTGGCAGAAACCCATTTATGTGATGAGCGATTTTAGAGGGGTTTTTGGATGGGGGAGGGGGAGGTGTGACAAAATGAAAAAGAGTGCACACACACTTATGTACAGTGCAAGAGGAACGGTTGGTGTTCCACGTGATGCCATTTTGTTCTGGAAAGAATGTGCTTTGCTTTAGCATCCTGCTGTTTGAAATTTCTCCCTCATTCCCTCTTTATTGCTAAACCGTCCCTTTTACTTTTCTCCACTGCCTTCTGCCGTGCTCTCCTTTCTTTATCTCATCTGATACAGTTTGCTGCCAACTGTCGGAGAGAGATGCTGCGTTTTACTGCATGGAAATGTTTTCTATCTGCTGTGTCACAGCTAGACAGACTTTCCAGGGTGATGGAAGTGCCTGCAGCTGTCACTTGAGTATGCAGTCAGGGAGCAAAGCTAAACTACCCGTGCCGCTTGAGTTTTGTCAAATTAGCCTTTCTTCCCTCAGGAGAGGAGTCACTGGCTCAAAACACTCTCTCAGAGTGGAAAAAGAGGGAATAAAGCAGGTTGCAACTAGGTGAAGCAAATTCAGCCCCAAAGATTGCCTGCGACATCCTGTGTTCTGTTTAGGCACAAGGCTGATAAAACTAAGCGGACATACTAGAGCGTTGAAAATGCTGTGTTTAGAGTTTTTTTACCATCTCATTCTTAATTTATTTGTAGCCCATCGCGAAAGTAATAACGTCTGCTCAACAGAAGGCAGGAAGAACAATCACTGCTCGAATCACGGGCCGAGCTGATATGGGACAAAAAGCCAGAATTTGTGGTAGTTTAGCAGTGATGGGAGTTGCTCCACCCATGAGTTCAGTCGTTGTTGAAAAACATCATCCAGTCACTCAGGTAGGTCAGAATTACGCTTGTAAGGGTGCTCATTACAACGTGTCTGGTGGTAGTGTATAGAAAAATGACCACTGTGATGGGATATTGGACAATGCCCAGACTCGAGTCCTGTTTAGAATAACAAATAGTACTGTCGCTGGGCTGGGTGGAAGGCGCTGGCAAGGAGAGAAAGTAAATAGTGCCACTAATGCCTATCTGTCTTGTTTCTGTAGTATTTTATCTCACAGGTATAGTAGCCTTGGCTCTGTCTTTCTTGGCCAGCTTTTCTGTGCGTCTCCCTCTTCGCAGTAGTGGTCAGCTGGTACGGCAGGGTTTGGTGTAATGCAGCCTACAGACAAGCTGCATGGTGTATAGCAGGAAGAGTGGCTGAACCAGGGGTGGTGGAGGTATAGACCGGGCTGACAGGCTGAGCGTAGCAAGTTACTGGGGAAGAAAGTGAAACTTGTCCAAAGGCAACCAAATTCATCAAGCCTGCCATTTGTTGTATTTTGAGTCTTAACTTCCATTCACCCTAAAGAAAACACTGAAATAAGCACATTGATGGGGTAGGAAACCTGCACACACGAACATGTACTGTTTTAATGGGATTGGGTTTTTTGTACCATTAAGTTTTGTTTTGTATCCAATTTACTTTTCAGCAAACCATATCCCAAGCCACTGCTGCTAAGTATCCCCGAACCGTGCTCCATTCTTCTGGTTCAACCGCTGTGAGACCCCCAGGACAAGGACAGGCTGGGCGAATGCTTCAGGGCCAAACTCATACTGGTGTCCAGTCAATAAAAGTTGTTGACTGAGTGAGTATCTTCATCACTGGTGGGGGTTTTCATCAAGGTACAATTTAAACCTCTTTTCAGATTTGAGGTAGCAAGGCCTAAAGTGTGTATCATGTTTTTACCCTTTTCTAAAAAGATTTTTTTAAAGTAAAAGTGCTTTTATAGGGAACATCTCGAGGGGAAAAAGGACTTACTTAAAATGTTGTTCTACCTCCAAACTGTTTGAGAACTGATTTTATTACGACAAGCATTTTTTATTTAAGGAATCTTTTGCATATTTGAATAAAGGATAGAATGGTTTTTGTCTGAATCTCTTTGTTTAGTTCCAGTGTTACTAACATCTACTCCAAAGTGAAAATTAAATCTGGTTTTGGTACTTGTGCTTTTAGTAGGTTATGCTGCATGTGGTTGACATGTATTTTGATTGCATCCTACACCTAAATGAAGAACAGCAGGGTGGTAGCCATCGCACTCGGGATGTGAAGGACCAGGGCCATCTTGGATCCCCGGTTCCAAAACCTGAGGATTTACCAGCCTGTTCTTCACATTCCCGTGATGCTCTGCAGCCACGTCAAAACAGGTTCCATAAAAGAAGAGGGTCAGATGTTCAGACTTCGGGTTAAGACGCAGACTGTCATCTTTTCAGTACAAACAGTAAGATTCAGAACAAAATGATGCGAGCTACATGTAGACAGGCAGAGTGAGTCAGCTCTTCTGTTACATGACAAAACTACTGCTCTTTTGTTATAGAGAATACTACAAAGAGAGACATTCTGCATAGTTTTTCAGATATGAAATATATTCTGTCATGAGAGAACCTTTGAAGGTCTTCAGCAGGGCACTACCCAATACCAGTTCCAGACACGAACATGACGCAGGTAAAGAATCGCTAGATGTGTTACGTATTAAATACCACAATGTATGTACGGTTATGCCACGACACCAGATTCTGCAGGCAGCCACATACAGTTCTAGACATGACATTTTTGTGTATTTTAAGTACACAAGTCAGATGCTGAAGAAGACGGGCTTGTCCTAATGCTAGCACTAATCGAACAAGAGAAAAGCCCTCTTCAGGCAGGCAGGAACACTGCAACCCTGGGAAGACAATATTAAAACCTGAGTCCCAAAGGAGGCCCGGTGCCAGCCTATTTCTGATGGTGTTTATTGATACACATAATTTTCACTTATTAATTTTAATTTGTTTTGGGTAGAAAACATCTCATTTACATTTCAAACACAAAATGGCTTAATTTGCAGTTCCAGTCGGAATTTTGTATGGATGTTATAGATACAAACTGCAGGGGTGTGGTTCTTACTTAGCAGTATAGTCATGAATTACCAGCCAGCCATTCACGCTTAAATTCCTTGAAGCGTTGCAGAGTGAGCATATGAGAAAGGACTCACCGGTATTTCAGGAGTGTGAAATATGTTCTGATGTTCTTCTGGCTTGGAAGAAGTCTTGCAACTTAAGACAGGTTTTTGCTTCCAGAGAAGCCATTATTTGTATTTGAAAGTCACTTTCCATCTGGCATGTACTTCCACCATACATGCCATGTTTTGCTGGTGAGGTCATGAAACTGCACATTTTCTGGAGCCCACATCAGCGCTACCTGCGGCTCTGATCTTCTCTGTAAAAGAGGAGAAAATGCTTGCTTGATAGGCTCTGCTTTCTGCAAGGTCAGTCTCGTCTCGGCGGACAGCCACTCGCGCTGTAACCATGCGTGCAGGACGAAGGAGGGAAGAAAAGGTTGCACATCTTTGCCTTCCTTTAGAGAGCCCAAGCCTCACTCAAATGCTCCTACTTGAGCAACCTCAACCCCCCCGCCCACAGCAAGGGCAGATTCCCAGGAAGACGGAGAGCGTCCTCCGGCTCCGCAAGGGTCATGCCTCCCCAGCACCAGCAGGGACCTCAGCGCCGCGCCACGGGCTCGCAGGGGACAGTGTCGTGCGCTCTGTACCCACCACACAACTTACCAGCCAGAGGCAGAAATCCTGCTGCCACCAGATCTTCGTAAATGCGCTTGACGGGATTCTGATGAGCCAGCAACATTCCGTGTAACCAGATGAGCAACATCCTGTTTCCATGCTCCTTATAACTCTTTTTCCCTATGCAATACACAAAGCATCTGTCTGTGCCACGTGCTGGAAACCCTGTATTTTGTGCTTTTGCACTTTCGGTATTGCAAGAGGTTTTAAAACCTACTCATTTACTGCGTTTCCCACCTAGAAGCAAAATGAAGACTGAGGCTTACAAAGCTTAAAAACAACCCCAAAATTGTGGTTTTATCCTAAAGCTCTACTGTAAGGGCAGAGGAAGTGGGGAAGGTAATACATCTCAAAATTAATTTTTTTCCCTTTCATTTTTCCGCAAAATGTGGAAATATGCCCCGGAGGAGTAGTACACAAGTACACTGTGTGCTTTAGAAGTATTGGTTTCCAGCACTGGAGGCACCTGAAACCAGAAACTGCAGTTTCATGTCAGCTGTGAAGATGGAGCATAAACAGGGTCTTCCTGTGTCGCAGTGTTCCCCCGGTCCTCCCTTGCAGCGCGACCTGCGGGACTCTTCCATGCTGCTCACTGCTCCTGTGTTTGGTTTCCAGAGATGACGGTTGCTTCAGGCCAAGAGGGAAGAAGTGGCCTGTGCTTCCCAGGGACAAGGCTTGCATCCGTTCACCGCTCATTTCCATAATTTGTCTAAGGGCAGCATGGCCAGTGTGTACCTGCGATACTCACACAGTTTAAAAAGCAACTCTGCCTCGTGGTGTTTGTAGCTTGTTATTACCTCTAGCCACTCAGATATTCTTACCTGTCCATTGTTCTTCAATAGCTTTAATTTGTTCATCCGTGAACTTCCAGAACAGGGCCAGTTTTTTCCATTCCTGGGGCTTTAACTGGTTGTACGCTATATTCCAAAAGGAGGAACGGAGTTGCTTCGTGTGTGTACTATGATCCTGTTTGAAGGACAAGCCGAAGTCTGACCCATCATCGCTGTGAGCCAGATGTTCCTGAAGGAGAAAGCAAACGACAAATTTGTGTCACGCAGCCGGGAGGGAACCCTTTGCTCAGCAAGCACTGTCCTGCGCAGCCATACGTCACTGCTGACGGGAGATCTGCTCACGGCAAGTAAGGGAACCGTGTCTGGCCAGTAGAGTTGTTATTTGGAAGACGTCTTAACTGCAGAAGCCCTCTTGTGTCTATTGCTATTTCTTCATAAGCTAAATGCAAAATCAGCCACTTTCTTCCTCTGGCACTTAAAACACTCGATAGCAAGTAGCAGCAACAACTAGGCCTGCACTGCTCTGCTCCTTGACTGCTCTATAGCATTTTGAAGGTGGTTGGCACTCGACCTTGGTGCTCACGCTTTCCTCTTGCTTCTCGAAACGCTGACTCCTCCCTGAGAAGATGCCAGCCACCATCGCCATGGCATTCGCTCAGGCTGTTCCCACCTCTGCCCTGTTGGCTCCGCTCGGCCGAAGCAGGGACTGCCAGGTCATTTGATGGCAGCACGGGGCGTTGGGTTTGGCATCAGAACCCTTCAGCAACCTACACAAGCACCAATGAGCGCATGGCCCGTTGGACCGGGATCTGGTTTTATCGCCTCCATAAAGATACCAAAATTGCAAGCCCCTTGCCCTCTGGATTAAAAGCGAGGCTGCTACTGCATGGGGCTGGCGCAAAACAGGAGCGATGGGCTTGCTTCCTACTGGGGCAGCTCTGCAGAAGCCGTGATATCAGCCCCACCTGAGCGGTGTCAGGGAAGAGCCTCGTTCTCGTGCAGCTAAGCTCAAATTACTTTGTTATTTCATGTTGTTTAGGTGCTCGTCCTGCTTCAAATCGGCCTCCAAAGTGAAAAATGGCTTCAGGAAATCCATACGGGATTGCAGAGCAGATACTGAGCAAAAAAGGGAGGTGGCAGCACGCCACGTTTTAACAGTGCTAAGCATAAAATAACTCCGTTCCAGATTAAATTCAGAAAAATACAACAGAGTTATTTTCTTGTCTGCCTAGGCAACGCCAGGGTGGGGCAGTAACAGCAGCCCTCAGGAAGCACGCTGTATGTAGAAAAAAGGGAAAGCAGAGGGAACAAGAGACCCCCACACACGCCAGCACGATGCGCACTTCCTCAGCGTTGCCCTGCGCAACTCCCACCCTGTCGCAGCCAGTGCAGCGTAACGCAAAGACGGTTCTGACAATCACGGTTCTAAACGCTGTGGTTCCCTGCATCGTTACACCACCTGCGCGATGTCACGTTCCCGAACTGCTCCGAAAGGCAGTGCTCCGAGCTTCAGGGATACGAACGCTCATGTTTCTGCTTCCCAGCGCGCAGAGGTCTTGCAGAAAACCATTTGCTCCAACATCTCTTCCTCTCCTGTTGTGGTTGAACGGGCTCACTGCTGTCTGACTTGTCTCCTCTGGCAACAGGTGACTTCACTTCTAATTCCCCTCCAAGCCAAAACAAACACTAAAGCGTGGGACAGCTCCAGCTGAGCTGGCGTAAATCAAATGCCCAGGCCGTACGAGTTCGTGGGGGTGTTTTTCGTGACAATTAACCTGCGATTTACCAGCAGAATGCCCTGCAGCATGAAGTATTTGGACGCGCAGCATTGGAGCAGGGTGCTAACAGACCGGCTAATTCCTGTGGCTGCAGGATCAGCATGTGCCCCAGGAGGCACCTGGCTAGGCTGGCAGCAAACACTGCCCGGCAGGAACAAGCGAGGTTACAGATCTGCATGGTAGCTCAGGAGCCGGAGCATGAGAGCCAGCAGTCAACCGAGTTCCTCTCACCAAACCACCTGCCCCATGTGCTAGCTCCAGTGCTCAGAGTCGCTCGCGGTACGTAAATAAACTGTGTTAGCGTCTTCCTTCTTGCAGGTTTTACGGCAGGTGCTACAGGAGATGTCCTGCCTCGCTAGGAGCAGTCTGCAAACTGAGAGAGCTTGGGGATTTTAAACTCCATTAGAGCTTTAGAACCCAGCAATTTCACTCAACTCTTAGGAAGCCCACATAAACCTATGGTTCTGAACAAGAAAAACCCAACAAGCTGAGACAAGACTGATTTTTGGAGCATTAGTATGTCCTCAAATGAACCTTCACCATCCTATGAAATACCTCCCTTTCATCGCGTGTAGGTATAGCAGGTTCTTTGTGGCTCATTGCAACAACTGTCCCTGACGGAATAAATAAACTTTCTCAGAATTCTAAATGGTCCCAGTTAAGACCCTGAGACACCTGAATTTTCAAGACCTGTTTGGGCTGGGTCTGAGTTTTAAGGCCCATCTCTAGAATGGGCCTTGCCAGCAGCCCAGATCCAAATACTACTCCGATTTTGAGGTACTAAGCTTAGCTTTTCTTGCTCAGACACCTGCCGCCTGCAGAGCGCGTACAGAGTCGTAAGTGACGCAGGGTACTCAACGCAGGCCAAAATACTTGTCACTGACACCTCAATACCTCTGGCTCTCGGTCCTTACCGCTAAGCAGCCAACCTTCAAATAACAACTGGAGAAAGAAGATTAGAAGTTCAGTCTGAGTTCATGCCTTTCACACTTGTTGCCTGGTTCTTTGCCATTTCATTGGTTGCGTTTTATAATTAACACCGTAAAACAGAAGAGGGAGCTCCTGCACTCCGTTTTTCGACCACAGACTGCTATCCCAAATGATGCAGGGATCAACGTGGATTCAGATCAATCCCAAAGCTGATGCTGAAGGCACGGTTTGAATTTGGGTCGGATTCTCTCTCCATCTCTATTCTGTTGGTACAGCATGATGCAGGACAACGGTAAGATCTGCCTACAATTTTACAGCTAGTCAGGGATAAAACATGGATGGGGTAGAGACCTTTGGTTCCCACCCCTAACCCCAATTCATCAAGGCCAGTCTCGTAACCTTCTGGAAGGAACCACCTCAGGCAAAAGGCCCTTCAAGATCAGAATCAGCTTTTTCCTTCCAGTTCTCCTCAGTGTAAGGAAAGGTGTCTCTTACCTGTTCCACAGCATAGTATCTTTCTGCTTTAATGATCATGTCTACAATGAGGGCGTGGTTGCTCCTGGACGCCACAGCAAGGGCAGTTTTTCCATGCTGAAAGCAGACACAGTGAATCAGAACACCATCACATACAGAGGAGGGAGAGTAAATCATGGAAGAAACACAAGAGCTTCATTTACACTGACCTGTCCTTTTTTTTTCCCCCCACAAGAAAACACCTATCTACTACAATTTTACAGCTTCAGAGTCGGTACAAAGTTCTTCTATCCTTTGCATAAGCTGTACCATCCCCTCAGCCCAGAGGTGGTCAGTCTTCCCTGCCCTGAACTGCAGGATTTCCAGCGGTACAGCTGCCTTCAGGAACCTTAGCACCCGGATTGCTGCGTACTTCCCACCAGCTGGTACTTTCATTCCTGTTACAGTTAAACCGGCATGTCAGATGGATAGGAAACCTCCAACTTCAAGGGCAAACCTGCATCTTGTTTGGGATGGTAAGAGAGACTGGCTCACAGAATGAGAAAGGGTGCGGGAATGACTTTCTGACAGCTGACACGAGCACAACTGAAGGTGACATCTGATGGGCAGTACAGGCAGTCAAAGGAATTAAAAGCCTTTGCTTCAATTCCGGCTGCAGAGGACGGCTCGGTCTGTATGAACCCGTTTCTGCTACCAGCACTGGGATGCAAACACATCTCAGTGGTTTTACAGGGCTGTCTGTGCAGCTGTCTGTTCTCAGCAGATCTGCAGGGAGTGGAATCACAGAATCACAGAAGGGTTTGGGTTGGAAAGGACCTTACAGACCATCTAGTTCCAACCCCCCTGCCATGGGCAGGGACACCTTGCACTAGACCAGATTGCCCAGAGCCGCACCCAGCCTGGCCTTGAACACTGATGGGGCATCCGCAGCTTCTCTGGGCAACCTGTTCCAGTGCCTCACCGCCCTCTCCAAGAAGAACTTCTTCCTGATATCTAATCTAAACCTCCCTGCTTTCAGTTTAAACCCATCACCCCCTGTCCTGTCACTACCGGCCCTTGTAAAAAGTCCTCCTCCAGTGAGGAACTGCCTCACATTTCCATACTCAGGGTATTCTCCACACAACAACTGCTAGGCATTCTAGAAAATCAGACCTAAAGGAAGCCAAGCTTTCAATTAGAAAGTTCAGTAATTAATTTCCACGGCATTTTAACTCCAGCTACCTGGCATTTTAACTTCCCTACCTTTTGATACTTTTTGAGGGATCTATTTCCTGGCTCTGCTCACAATCATAATAATCAGTCTATTTTAGACAAGCATCACATTTAAAGCCAAGAAATCTACATTTTATAGAACCTTTACAGTGTAGATACATTTAATTTGCGAGGAGTCCAGCGACCACAAGAGCTTTCTTGGATCCCACCTCTGGGCAGGTGCTCTGCATTTCGCAGGGAGGTTGGAGGTTGGAGAAGGGGGGTGTTTCTGACCTCCTGTGGTTGTGCAGACACCGCTGGCATCCTGCCTGCCCACGTGGCGTGGCAGTCTTGCACTCGGGGAGCATTCTGCACTGTCAGTCAAAACCAACCACAACTATCTGCAGAGGGGAGGAAGGAAGAGTTCCCAGGACAGCGTTTCCTGAGCTCTAACAGCTTGTGCAGAGAGGTGACAAGTTCTGGAGGCCGAGGACCTTTGCTGCCGGGGTCTGAGTCCAGGAGAACAGTGAGTGGTCAACGCAGGCTCCCCTTTTTCCTGCCTACTCTTTGGGAAGGAAGGCTGGGAACGTTTTTGGCATCTTGGTACTAATTCAGTTCAAAGAGGGCTGAACTGGCAACTGTTCCCAGAGGTGGCATGGCCTCAGGGGGTTGTCCAGCAAACAGACAAGGGAAATAAACTGAAGGCAGAAAGGTGAGAGGGCTGTGCTCGCCCAGATCCATATTTTGCAAAATTTTTAAAATCTGGATTTGGTACTCTGTCCTCTCAAAAGCACTTCCCCAGAGACTCTCCATTTTGGTACTTCTTCTAGCTGCTGCCATTTTTGTCTTGGTCTTTCCAGGCTGGACGTCAGCAAGAGGGCCTAAGCACCCACCCGAGAGGGTCTGGGATGGCTTCCCAGGGACATGGCACTGCCACCTCCAGATGGCCCAGAGTGCATCGCAGCAGTTAGCGAGGCTGGGAGTTCCTGTGCCTCTCCTGGCAACGAACCCGGCTGCAGGTGCACGCTTACAACAGCCGCAGGCTGTTTTCCACTCCATAAGCCTGGAGGGCTTTTCCACCAGAGGTCTCTAGCAGTGGAGTTACAACACTCCAAGGCACACGTAATCCTTGCATGGGAGAGGAACGCAATCTACCTTATCCACGGCCTTGAGATCGCAGCCTGCCTTCAGCAGCACTTCCACCAGCTCCACGTTGCCAAGATCAGCTGCCAGATGTAGAGGGGTTTCCTGCCTCTGGAATTAATGACACCAAATAAATACAGTAAGACAAACTCCCCCTCAAAAAGAGAGTGCTCTGAATCTGAACCTAAATAAGCTTCACAAGAGATGGTCTTGGCTGGAAAACACCGAACAGAATGAAAGCATTTTAACTATTGAGTGATCTGCCTGCCGGGTTTTTTTCAGGCACGCGAGAGCATCTGGGATCTCCGCAGGAAAACCAGACAGGAGCTCCAGTGGGCTCAGGAAAAGGTTGCTGTCATGACCCTAAAACAAGGTGTTTTGGACAGTGCTTACTGCAACTGCCAACCCCACCCATACTGTCCTCTCAAGTACCCTTTTCCCTGCTGAAATTCACGCAAAGGCAACTGGGCATCCATAATCCTCAGCACTACACCACGCCACAGCCCACCACAGGGTTTGTCAGCCGGCCCAGCCACAAAATGACGCTACGAAGTGGAAGGTACGACGGAAGGCCACCTGCTCCACAGTGGGTTTGGTGAGCCTTGAACCACACACGAGCAAGCGAAAAAAGGATGGGGGGGGGAAAGCATTAAACAAAAGCAAAACATTAACAAGAAGTACAGCTAAAGGGACATTCACCTGCAAGTCTAATCTGTGGGTCTGAAATGAGAGTTGTGGGTCTGAAATGAGAGTTGTGGAGTGTCAACGCAGCTGCATGTACTCAAACAAAACCCACTTATTTATCTTCCTACAGATTATTGGTTCAAGAAATTCCAGGCGTCTATGGGTGTAAATAGCAAAGAAGATACGCTGACATTTGTGGAAACTCTGCATATCTGAGCGTGTTCCTTAGCGTGCTTCATGTGACCCAGCATCCTTTTAAACTGAATGTTTTGTGGCTATGCTCCTCTGATGCTGAAAGCCCACATTCCGTAGGTCTGGTTAGAGAACTGCTGTGTCCTTTAGATCTCAAAGGTTGCGGAGTCAAACACCCAAGACCTCACACGCCAAAGAAACACCAGCCTCAGGGTTCTGCGTTAGAGTGTCTCATCAACTCTTTCGGGAACGCGCACTGTGATCACAACCTCAGAAATCCCCTCCGACAATACGTCCTACTTCCTTTTCTGCGGTAGTTCAGAGATGTGTACGTAGCTACTGCATGTAACTTCAGACACGCTAGAGACAAAGCACAGAACATTTCTAACAGACGTATTCAAGAAGTTCCCCAAATTCTCTGTGTGACCAAAGAGCTAATCATCAAATTTATCTGGATTCCGGCCACAAATGACAGCCTCTGTCTCCCACAAAAATGCATATAGGTTAATCTGTAGCAATAAAATCGTCCACAGGAAGGGATGAACCACAGATTTAGCATGGTCCCTGTTACTGTCGTGGGGATCATTCTCCCCTGCCACGTGGGAGACCGGGGTGCGTTTCCCGACAGGGAGCCACGGTGCCAAACATGGGACTCGACAGACCCGGCTAGACAGTCTCAACAGCTGAGATGCAGGTTCAGTGGGGAGGGGGAAGAAAGACTCTCTTTGGAGCGCCACAGCTGGCAGGCTGGTCTACACACAGCTGGTGCCGTGTAAAGACGGTTCTCCGAGTACCCAAGCAGTGGCAGCTTAGGGCCCAAAAATACCAGAGTAGGCTCAAGGCCAGCACTTTTATCATGGTTCTCCCAGGCAAAACAAATCAAAGTGATACACAGCTGAGGCCAAAAATGATCATTAACAATCATGGGAGGTTTTGTACAGCAAAAAAGATAGCGAGCAGACCACCGCCAAAGTAAATACTTCAACATTATGTGGCCTTCCATAGAGGAGGGTATCCAGTACCTGAGGGTATTAGCCATGGTGAAGACGGTCTACAGCGAACTGGCCAACAACCAGCCAGGCCTCGAAAGACCACCGGCACCAAGCACAGGCCAAACAATCCTGCTGGAGGCAGGGAAAAGAGATGCCGGCATCCCCGAGTGGGCTCTAACCACCAACCTTTCACTTAACAGCTGAGCGCGCTAACTGATTCCACCACAGAGACCTGCGAGCTTATAATTTGGCGTGGTTTTGGTCAGTCGCAGTCATCTACTTGGTTGTGTGCCCTCCCAGCCCCCTGTGCACCCCCACTCTATTCACTGGGGGGGCAGAGCGTGGCAGAGAGAGGGCGTTGGTGCCATGCAAGCACTCTTCAGCAGCAGGGAAAACATGGGTGCCTCACCAGTACTGTTTTGGTCACAAGCCTAAAACACAGCACCCTGCGTGTTGCCATGAAAAAAACTAACTTCCTCCCAGCCAACAGATGCGCTGCACTGGGATCAATACCGTGGAGACGTTTCTGCCACTTACTACACGTTAATTGTAACACACAAACAATAAATTAATCCAAATGTTTTCTGAATACAGAGCATTTCACAATCCTTATCTTGCACAAACAATACTAGCACAGCATGTACCAGTGACTCATACATATGCACACACGCGACAAGATAAGGAGGGAACTGCCTCTTCCTTCCTGTTTTTTTTGTATCCTGAGCCCTTAAGGAAAAAAAAAAATCCAAGCAAGCCCCCACATAATCTCCTCTTTACCAGTGAAGTTATATGAATTCCCAGTTTTTCTTACGTGATTTAAGGGGTTTATGTCATGGTTGGCATCCAAGAGACTTTTTACTACTGGTAGGTGATTATTGATGACTGCTAAATGGAGAGGTGAATTCTTCTGCTGTGGAGGAAAAATAATAAACTATTATACTTGGGTACATCCATTGGAATTTCACTCAAACAAGAACAAGGTTTTTTTTTCAAACAAGTCTTGTTATAATCTGCCCCTTGCCCATGTGATGTGCTCCAGCAGAGGTTTGAGACTGCACCTCGAGGTGCAGAGTTATGCCGGGGACAGCGGCCCGCTCCTGCCACACCTACAGCTGCAGGTAAACAAGCACAGCTGAGAAACCCGGAAAGGCCGAACGTGCTGGGTGTGCCCCGATGTACGGACACGGAGGAACGCAGCAAGGTGGTCCTTTCACGTCTCCATACCTGGGATGTGCTGCTACCCTTGCCTGACAGTAGGCTGCTTAGGGTAATGTTTCTGCTCCCCCAGGAAGCTGGGTTTGCCCTTAGCTGGACAGGCTGGAGAGAGAACACAGCTGCCAGAATCCACTTTCCAGGAATAAACTCTTGTCACATATTGCTGCTGCAAGCGTTTTTCACACTTGCTGTCATATTTATAGAAAGCAAATTGTAGCTAGAAAGAAATTAAGTGGGTTTTTATTTGTGTGATTATTCATTAAAATAAGTAGGGCACAGGTCCAACATCCGTCACGACTCAACATCAGACTGCCAGGATCACTTGGCACGTTGAACCTGCGACTCACCAGTTTCTCGCTAAATACTGCTAAAATACAATTCCGCACCAGTGCCGTCCACAGGTGTCAGACACCAGGTCATTAGTGCCTTTGTAGCTATTTCTTCAGGGCTACAGAAGACTAAAGCAACCTCTTAAGCAATGCTGCACTGGAAACGTTCCCAAAATGCAAGGTACAATTTTATGAGTTGCGTCTGCCACAGAAAAACAGTGAGAACACAACGCAGGCACAACAACCGCCTGATCTTTCAAGTAAATCACTTCAAGCATGTCATAAACTGTTCTTCCTTGATAACACTATGCAACAGGCCAGTGATTGTGGCAGATAAGTCACGAAGCCCAAATTCTATTTTCACCCTGTATTGTAGATGTGGAAAATAATTTCCTATTCACAGAAAACCTCAGATGTAGCAAAAACGGTAATATTTAAACTGAGAGAATATTTGAATGTCAGGAATAACTTTCTTTTAAAATCTCGAAGAATGGTGGCACACAGATTTCGAAAACCTAGGCTTTGAGTGCAGAAGCTGAAAGCAGTGAAGCGTTTATTTCCTTTTTATTTACCTTCATTCAAAGTCAGTTGCGTGTGATAACTCTGCCCAGGGCGCGCGGGGCGCCTGCGTAACCACTGCTCTGCCCAAGCAGGGTCCTTCGCTCATCTTCTCCTCAAGCCGGGCCCTTGGCTTAGCCTGGCCACCCCTACCCCGCACCGCCCCGGTCTGCCCAGGCACCCAGTGAGTCTTCGACGGTCCCTACGTATTGCAAACCCACACCCCCGTTACGTGGATATTTACTAGAGATAATGTGCATAGTACAAAAATGACAGAACTACTCCATCTCATCCAGCTGTCTGAATTCCCACTGAAGGCCATAAAAGACAGGACGCACTGAAGAGCAGCGGAAAAGTTATACCGATATGGACTCACCTCGGGCCTGGGAACCAGGTCAATATTCTTATCAATAAGAAAAGTAACCAAGGACAGATGTCCGTTCCGAACCGCAACCTGCAAAGCACTGCTGTTGTTCTGAAAAACAGTACAGACAGCAAAAGCTTACATTTTTGTTACTGGAAAAACAGTACTGAAGAGAGCTATCAATACAGGATAATCTTTCACTTAAATCTGTCATTATCCCCTCCTCTCAAAAAATTCCCTTTGTTAAAACGATATAAAATGAAGTGGATCAGCAGTGTGATGTGTTTTTGTATCTACTGAAGGATCTCCCATTTTTCCTACCTCATAACAAACATGCTAAGAACACCAGTATTCTACAGTGCTTTTCAGTCTCTCTTAGGAAAGAGACAAACCGTCACCATCAGACCCAGAGTCGAAGTGCTCACCAGGGGTATGCAGGGAGCCGGGGGACACCCCTCACCCCCCTCCTCCTTAACTAGTGCGGATACACCAAGCTGTAGCCCTACATGTAGCACCGCTATCCTGTGCCACGGACAACGTGTCTTCTAGTCTGTTAATTCATCTCGACCTGTAACAAACACGTACAATCACGGAAACGAACCTCTCAAAATAAATCAACAGAAAACTTTCCCTTAATGGTTCGATTAAACCAAACAAGCTCTCAGTCTACTGAAATCCTAAAACTTCCTGCAGCAGGCAAGCCAAGGCCATTCAACAGACGTGAGCTGGACTGGAGGCCAGGAACCAGATGTGGAGAACAGGTTTGTCCCCGATTCAGTCGTACACGCTGCCAACAAGGGGAGTTTTCAACCTCCTGGCCATATGTTTTACTGCTGGGCATGCAGTAAATCTAAGAGCTCCACCACAGAACTCTCTCAGATGAAACTACGCTATGTTTCTTCCACACCAGTTTTATTCTATTAGCACTCTCCACTTTCCCAATTCTATTTAATTTATTCATTTATCTGCCATCTCCTAAAAATACGCAGAGCAAATGTACCATTAGCACACACAGCCCAGGATGTCCCAGTACCCGTGCATACGTACATGAGTTAAAACGTTGATGTCGCTTCCTGCTTCCAGTAAGAGCTCGGCACATTTTTCATGTCCTCCTTCCACAGACAAGTAAAACGGAGTTTCTCCATTCTACACCAACAGAGAGAAAACGTCTGTTCCAACTTAAGCCACATGACTGTAAGACGGTGACACAAAACAGGATAGCTCAGACTGCCCCTGCTCCAAGGAGGAGGGGAGACGGTCACAAGGGAACACAACCTGAATGCTCCTGAACTAACACGGAACTGGCGACTCACCAACCCTTCAGTGACGGGTGACATCTGCGCTGACAGGTGTACAGCCAGGCTCAGGATACAGAAAACCATCTCGTAAATACTAATCACGCTCCTTTCAAAGATCATTAGCAACAGGCACAGGAACAAAGACGGTGGGGTAGCAATTGCTGCCATCCAACACCGGGCAAGACTGCCAGCACGTGCCGTAAGTGCCCGTTCCCGCCAGTACAATGCCATGGATTTCTGACAAATTCCCAACCCTAGTGCTAGTTATAAGGAGCACT